GTCAGTTTATATTCAAAATGACATATGATCCATATTCAAATTTCTGAAATTATTTTCATTTCATTCATGTGTGGCGTGGTGGTATATTGCTCTTGCACATATGCTTTTTACGTAACTTTTATGTAATAGATAATGCATATTCAGTGTGTATGATTGAACGGCTTGTCCAGCTAACGGCCTCCTGTTTTCGCTCTTTTTCAAATAACTATGGCAATGGAGTTAGAAATTAATCTAAAATTGCAACCAGATAATTAAGTAGATTAAATGTTTCTCTGTAAAATGAAAAGTGTCTCGGCTCTGAACGTTGATCCACTATGAAAAATACAACTGTTGTACAAAAAGCCTTGCTGTAGATATGCTTGAGCAAAAAAAGCTTGTAGATGTGCTTGAGCAGATGCTTTGAGTATAAGAAATATTATTCATAGAATGGAATAATCTGATACAGAAAGATCCAAAATTTTTAATAATGAAGATTTCAAAAATGCGCAATATATTAAAATCTGAGCTTTTAACATCCAAGTTATTTCCAAAGCGACTAAAATTAGATGAAATGAAATCTTTTTTATGAGATTAAAGTCTGGTTTTCCGCCTTTAAACTTTTATCTGCATAAACAGAAGTGTATAGACTCGCTTAAATGTAAATGTAGGAATGGAAAGGAGGACGTTGAACATTACTTTTTGCAGTGCCGTCTCTATCGCAATGAGAGACAAAATCTGAAATACGAACTACATTTTCTGACCACGATTACAGTCGACACACTATTGCTGAATGATCTTAATCTAGGCGATGTTTCACTTCCTATTGTTTTAAAAGTAGTTGTATTTTACGTTAAACAAACTAACAGATTCGATGATTAGCTAGTAGAACGTTAATAAGTTTTAATAAAATTTAAATTAGTCCACGCAATGTTTCTCCGTCTGGTCTATGTTATTTTCGCTTTTGTTGACGTTTTTAACTTTTTCTATATATTATGTCACTGTTCATCCTCCACCTGTTATACTTTACCACTTAATGTAGCCTATATTTTGCATGGCCTAAAATGGTTCGCCGCTGGCCTTATTATTTACACAATAAAGATATAGATATAAAAAAAAAAGTAAAAGCAAAGAAAAGAAGAAAAAAAAAAAATCTTACGCGAGGCTATTCACTTTTCTGCACCGCTCCATTGCTTTTTCGACTCGTATACAAAAGATTAAGATAAGAAAATGCAAGCAAATTTTATCCACTCTCCATTTTTTTGGACTACGCCGACGTTTACTTTCCGCAGATTTTCAGTAGTAAACGGTGTCTATACTTCTACTTTTTAATCTTTTAATCTCTTCAACACTAATTGTATTTTTTTAAAATATCGTTGTATAAACTCAGTAGAACTAAGCAGCATGACGCGAGGTGATCAACGGTGAGTAAGAGAAACTAAACCATACTTCTGAAATTTTGTTGTTTAGTCGCTCCCTTACCTTTTGCTCTAATTCATTGCTGTTTAGTGAACGTGCTCGTGAAAAAAATAGTAAGAATGCAGGTGGGCGTCCAGCAAAAGAAACTGAGGCTAATCAAGGATTATCATTACAAGAACGACAATTACGTGATGCACAACGGTACGACTAATATAGCCAAATGATTTTTTCGTTACATTGCTCGCGTTCCGATTTATTTTAGTATGAGAGAAAAACAAGAACAAGCATTGCAAAAGAAAGCTACTGATGGTGGTGGGGGTGGTGCCACTGCGGCTAAAACATAAAGCGCAGTCAGTGGTATCATTAGTTTGTCGAACAAAAAGGAAATATTGAGAAATATCTAACAAAAAGTATATATATATTCGACCCTAGTAGTTTTTCTGCAATAATTATGTTTTTTAAAAGAAATCCGTGTTTTCTTCTTTACGTTGTTGAGAAGAATATAAAGAGAATCGCAAGAATTTTATGAGTAATATACTTTTTTTGCTTACTTTTTTTTCATTTAATCTAATTAGGTTTTTTTTCGGTCGTATAATGTTTGACTCTTTTTATTGCTGAGGCACCTATGATTGATTAGATAGTAAGACGATACGCGACAAAATATAGATTTTATTTATTATTCTTTGTTAAGGTAATAAGACAAGGAAAGCAACGATGATTGTTTTTTTACCAGTAGTCATATAACAGACGACTATTTCACTTTATTGTATTGAAAAATCAAAAGCTCACTCTTTTTAGAATAAAGTTTTTCTGTCAGAATTATATTATGGCTCTTGTATGTGCTTTTATTGAACTTTATCAATGATAACTAATTAATTCTTATATTTGTGCTATATTGTTTTATGTATTCTCTTTTTTTAACCTTTAAGGAACAAAAAATTAATTATTTATGTCAAAAAAGCACACTCTTTTTTCTGGTACATTCATTATCGACAATCTGCCTCATAACGGGCTAAATGGTTGTTACGAAAGCTTTACTTTTAATTCATTCTATATACACAATTTGAAGGAAATTTATTTCAGTTGCTGGCGGCGTTAATACATAAACCTCAAAGTCCACCGAAGTTTTTAGCACTAAAAACAATTTGGACTGTTCCAGCATAAAATCCAAAGTTCAAATCATCAGTTTATAGACCAAAAATGCAGAATCTTTCGCTCTAAAATAATATTTTTAAGTTTGTATTACTGGTTGAAAGTTATCTCTACTGGGATTTCCAGTTGAAAGACTTGTTTCAGAACAACTGCATTCACTAAGTCGATTAATGATTGCTTTCTTTGCACATAAGAGAGTGCTTCCTGCACTGAAATCAATGGCAATACATCTCTTACTGTTTTAAACACCCGTACATAGAAGACTTTACTATAATGCTCTCTACTTTCTATCTTAATCTTTTGTATACGAGTCGAAAAAGCAATGG